GGTCCTTTCCAACCTTATTGATTCTGTGATTTGCAAACTTAAGCTTACATTCCACTGTAACGTCAAGTAAATGAAAAATAGTTTTAGGCCCATGGCAGACCCTTTCAGAACCACATTAGATAATTCTTTAATTATGACAGTGCAACTTTAATAACTATTTTTTGTACAGTGTTTTTTCCCAGCAAAGTTGGATATGCCAACACTATATTATTTCATCAGGATCAGATTTTACTGGTTTCCTGACAATGCCTGCTTCTGTTATAAACTTCATTAAGATCAGGAAGAATCCTGCTGCTGCTGCTTTCCTTATCTACCAGGCCGTTACTTCCCAACATTTGTTTTACACTCAGTAAGAAACGAATGCTTTTGACATGGTTGATGGAGAAACTTGATTTTGATCTGCCTGTGTTCATCCCCTACCATCTTTCTCTCTAGACATTTTAGAGTAAGAGGGAGAAATGTGGTGAATGTAGCGATCAAAAACTTGCTGCTATGAGAAGATAAGGCCGTCCTTGGCTCTGAAGTCTGTTACTAATGTTTGTTTCTTTTCCTGCTGGAATATACTGGAGAATCTGAGCACAATCCTGATCTGGTGCTGACTTTAGGAAACACACTGATCTGGCTGGTGCTAACATTAGGAAACACGCTGATCCAGTTGGTGCTAACTAACTTCAGGAAACATCTCCTTCCATTGCTTTAGTTAGGCTTCATATTGCCTATACTGAGGAAACTTATTGCAAGGCTGCTTGGATCCTCTTTGTGAAGGCACAATGAACTTGGAAGTATTTTTTTAAAATGCTGAACATCGTTTTAGGAAGAAACAAAAGTCTCTTCCCCCGGGAATGGCAGAAATCAGTCTGAATCCCTCTCCAGTGCGAAGGCTGTTGAATTATCTTTTTTTTTTTTTTTTGGTCATGAAAACATGAACAATGTACTTGTTAAATGACGTATTCAGGCTGAAGTCAAAAGAACTTGAGGCAATGTGAGATAACACTTGTGAACTTTCTGTCCCTCAGGTTGTCTTAGCTTGTTTAATCTTACGATAATCTGTGCTGATGAAAGGGACTGATGCTAAGTTGGCTTCTTTAGTAAAGTCTCAGGGGACAGAGGACTTCTACTGCCGTGATGCGTTGCTTGCTACTGCAAGCAGAGATTAAAGTCAGACAAGGTCATCATATCCTGATGTTATGGTGACCAGAAGTTTAACTGTCTGTTCCACTGGTGTTTTCTTAATTCTCTGATGCTGTTCTTTGCAGGTGGAAAGGAACAGCTTGGACTTTGAGGAACACTAAGTGTGTTGTTCTTGTCCTGTTGTAGTACTGCTGCTAGGTCTTTTTAGGACCATCTATTTTAAAAAGAAGTGCTGTGTGGCAGGCTTGCTGCAGCACAGCTGAGGGGGAGGCAACCTCTCTTGAGGTGGTAGCAAATGACTAAAACTGTTACGTGGGTCATTGTTCTTGGATAGTGGAGCTGGGGAAGGTCTGTGTGATGCAGAAGACTTGCAATGAATTCTCTTTTATGCATCATGCAAACAAAACTGGGACCAATATGAAATCCCTCTCTCAGCTGAGGAGGGGAAAAAAGGTCTTTTATGGATAAAAGTGACTTTCCACCCATTGTAGGAGTGTGGTTTTGGACCGCCAGCCTGGGCTTACGCAGCGAAGCAAGCAGGCACCCCCTAGAGCTAGGGATATGAATGGCATCATTCATCTTCCCTGTTTTTAACAGAAATGCAAAGTGAAGTTTTGGCTTTTTACTAACAGTGGATATATTCTTCCTTATTTTTGATTACCAGAAATGAATTTTGAGAATTACAAATAATTATAAAGTATCAATCTAAGTAAATTGTCAGCTGTGCTCAGTACATCAAGTCTCCATTGCCCCTTTTGACTTCAGCAGTTGTTCTGAGCGGGAGATGGTCAGCATGTTCATGAAATGGCATTAAGAGCCTTTCCAGGGTGGCAGATATGTCCTTGTAACTAGCTGAATGATGTGTCATTTATAACCGGAAACCTGTAGGGTTTTGTTTTCTCTCAAAGCTTTTGAGATATTTCAGTTTGTGACTGGAAAAGCTGGAATTAGGTTTTCAACTTTTTTAAACCTGTGAGAACTGTTTAGGTAACCATCTGTCATGTAACTGCAGTAAATGTGTATATGCAGCTTAGAAGGTGCATTGCCTTAGGGTAGATTCATTGAGGTCAAGTGTGGGCTGTTTGATTTATGACCAAAACACCTTAACTCTGTATTGAAATTTTGTCTTAGAATTTTAATTATTAATGTATATCCTTAGGACTCAAATACAAAGTGTTCTTATTGTATGACAGGTGATGGAAATATTTTCCCTTTAAAACCATCAAAGCTGAGAAGGTGGGTAAGACTTCTGGGCTGTGGCCACACCCGTGTGGTGCTAATATTTAGGTAATATTTTTATATGGGAGACTACAAAATCACGTTAACTATGCTCAGCAATTATACTCTTCTTGAGGCTTCTCTTTCCCTTCACTTCACTGCCCTAGAGCTAATAAGCCCTTTCATTTAAAGGTATTTTTGCACTCTAAAATGTAAGTTCAATGCTGTTGGAGATCAGTGTGCTGTGCAATCTCTTCTGTCTCCCTGCAGTGCCAGCTGTTTTTATGTGGTAAATGTAATTGGAAACATAGACTGGGTACTTTTCTTTTGTAAACCTCTGTCTTGGAGGTATGCAAGAGAACAAACACCTGTAAGACAGGTGTATAATCTGTGTGAGGGAGCTAGATATGCATTGCGTGTCCCGATTACATGAAGAGCCACTGTACTGACTATTAGTGCTTTTGCTTTTACAGACTCCTCTGGAAACAGTTACCTTGGATATTTTTTTCTTGAATGGACTTTCATGTTTTCTATTGTAATCTTGTGAATATTTTAATACACTTTTTTTCCCCCCATTACTGCTTTGCTGGATGAGTCTTATCTGGCTAGGGACTGGGAAGGGAGGGGCACTGAAATACACCATCTCTCTTTCTGGCACTATTCTTCAGTCACTGCAGTCTCTGTCAGCTCAGTAAACACCACAGCTGGAGAGTTCACCATTTTAACTGATACCCTGTATTACCACTTCAGCCAGGAGAGCAAAGACATGCAAGTGAAAGTAGCAGAATACACATAGGGAAATAGCTTCATGGCAGGGCGGCCTCTGAAAAAGGGGAGCTGACAGACTATCAGGTACATGTCCTGCAAGAATCGAAAATGCTTTCCTTAAGGTATCCTGCCCAAATACTTTGCACAGGATAATGTAACATTATACACAGGGTGAGCAAGGAGGAGACATCAGTGCCACAACAAGGTGCTGTAGCTCTTGTAACTATGGAACAGTTTCCTGTCCTTTCCACCCTTTGCCATGCTGCAGTGATAACTCAAATGGCATTGGGGGTGGAGAGAGACTTAATAACAGGACTTTGCAAAACTCCAGTATTCCAAGGCCTTCGCTTTCCTGAAAGGTGAATCCTGAAGAAGCAACTCTGTCTCACAGTTACCTTTTTCTCCTGGATATATAAATTCCTGAGCACTGGTACTGACTGCTAGCTGTGGTGGAAGACGTCTGAGACACCTGCCAGGGAAGCTCATTGGTGCCATGCTCTGAGCACAATTGCCTTGTACTTCTCAGTAACAGATGAGTTTTTGCAGTGCAGTGTAAAGCCTTTGCCCAGAAGCTATTTCACAGTGGCACATTTTTCCTCTTTACAGGAAAGTAAGTAGGGACAGATACTAACTTTCAGGGAAAGCTTCAGTGTTCATTCACAAAGGTGCCACTGATGGGAGCAGACCACTGCCTCCAGAGCTTTGGAGAACTGACAGGTACATGTTTCCAGAGTATACACCTTCACAGGAAATCTGTATGTGCTTAAGGAGGGGGTGGAAAGTGAGTAATAGAAGTTTTGGCTGTTTATTTTTCACACTCCCAAGAACCAGGTACTTAAATGCACCCATCTTCTGCCTCTAGTTGTAAAGGATGATGGAAGCTAAAACACCAAACATACAGTTTGCCCTCCTCTTGTTAAAGATGGTGGTGGCTGGGAAACAAATGAAGATATAGATAGCTGAAGCCGGAAAGAATGTCCTTACACTACTGGGGAAGAGCCTCAGGGAACAAAATGCAAATGCTACTGTTCTTGGTTACTGAAAGTATGGCAAAACCACACCCAGGTCTTACCGTGACATGGAAGAAGATGACTTCAGTCTGAGGCTCTGGCAGACTGTCACCAGCACCGTGTCACTCCCGGCACTGTTCAGATAAGGTGGAGCCCAGCAACTCATTCTAGGCTCAATTCACAATCAGTTTCTTTTAAAGAGACAATATAAGACACACAATTTTACTTCCGTTTAAAAGGTGGCACTTCATTTAAATGTATGGAGATACTTTGTTATTTGTACTTAGAAAACACTTGTTCTCTAGACATTTAGATTTCCTCTTTCATTTTCTCAGAGGAAAAAAACATTAAAATTAGTGAAGCTAGGTCCCATAGGGAAGGGTTTGTGCGTTACTGGATTTGACGTGTTGGGTTAAGCATCTCATTGCTGCAGCTGCTCTTGTTGTTTTGCTTTAAGCTCCTGATTATACCTATAGGGAAAAAAAAAGAGCACAAACTAAGGACACCAGTTACAGTAACACTGTCTTCCTAATAATCTGTTCAGCAGAGGAAGTTGAAAATTACAATGGACTTGAGAGTGGAAACTCAGGATAGGAGAGTTTAGTTCATGTATCAAGTTCCAAATTAGTTGCTAAGTTTGCCTCATTCCTGGCCAGTACTGAAAAAGCCAGAAAACTCCAAATTTTCCCTCAAGAAAAAAATAAATAATAAAAAAAAATGCTGCTCTGCTTAAGAACCCTTTGATCCAACTGGAACTGACACGATTCAACACTGAAAGCTGACAGAAGTGCAAAGCTTATGAGGAGGAGAAAGTCTAGGCTATTTGTCAGTGGGACCGGTAGCTTCTAAAGAATGCCTTAGGCCCAGAAACTACAGCTTACATAGATCATTCCTTAAAACATGCTCTAACTATACTGAGAATGTTTAAAGCTGCACTCCCACTCAACTAGAAAACTAACAATGTAGCAAAAAAGTTCTGCAATGTTTAATTAATTGTTCAGTTCCTCCCGCCTGGTGCACTGACATTGAGGCTGGTAGAATTTATAGATTCCTGGTTACGATGAGGTGGTGTGAATGCTTAGTTATAGTATGTAAGTAGCCCTTCTTAATACATACCTCCATATTCGGAAGAGTTGAGAGCCACCAGCACAGCCAACAAAGAAGTTCACAGCAAACAGACTCCAGTTTTTAGGAATAATAACTAGAGAGTACCTTGACCAAATAAGGCCTGTTGAATGAAAGGGAAAGTTTAAAGATGTTAAGTCTTCAAAGCAAAATATTCAGACATTCCCCTAAGTCTGGACACAGAATCATGGGCCAGTTTAAGTAAACAAGTTTTACAGCTTCATGATAGACAACTGCTTTTCTTATAACTAGACATTTCTCGGTTAAAAGCGCATCAAGTGCCAGTGGCACAGCTATGGGTACGTATTGCATTTTTCCAAAATAAGTAGACAATAAGGTCAATCATAGTCTTAATATCAAAGAAAGATCCTCTGTACTCTACAGCAGTCTAGACCTTAATTCTCCAGCACAGCTGCAGGGAAGTGGCATTTTGCTGTAGTATATCCATCTTGCTGCACCAGCTTAGAGATTACAGAATCCGCCAGTCAAGAAAGGTTTACGTATCATGCAAAATGCACAGCACTGTGTCACATATCAAAATAAAGTCCAGAGAAAGAAGAAGGTGGCAGCTGTAACTTTGATTTTCAGCTTTAGCTTCCATGAGTCCCGCCCCTGACAAGATCTGGTGGAACACCTTGCATTACGGAATGTTGTTTCTGCCAGTGTGAAAATTCACAGCAGACAGCAGCACAGCAGTCCATGTACCTCTGCTTCCAAGTTCTTTTAACACATGGAAATTCTTTCCAGTTACGTTAGCGTAATTTACCCTACCATTGTTTAATCCCTTAAAGCGTGTTCTAAAAAAGTCACTGTGTCCGGGACTGATTTCAAAATGACTTGACCTGAAGCAAAAGAGGTCACTTAGTGGAATGAGTGGTATCATTGTAACTTAAGGGATGAAACTTTGCATCCTAACTCCTAACAACTTGCTCTGGACAATTCCAAAGGCAGGCACATAGAGAAAACTGTTAGATAATCACAGAACTCTTACATATTTAATAAGGAGTATAGGTCTGTCCTAGAATTAGCATCTGACAGCAATAGTGAGAGCTAGCATATTATAGTTAAGCCTTTTCTATAGAAGTGAATTAGTGCTGATGGAGGATTCGGAAAGAAGTGTATACAGTTTTAGGGTGCTGTGTAAAAGCATGGAGTAACCTTGGCTTTACCTGTGGCCATTAGTACTGCAGATTGTGCTGTGCTGAGCTTTTCTGCTGGTCTGGTCATATCAGCCATTCCAGCACACACCAAACCCTGTAAAGAGAAATTCAGTGAGCACCAGTTCAGTACCCAGACCTCCTCTAACAGACCAAACGCTTTACAAGGGAAAGTTACTTCATAGCTCAGTGCTTACTCTATATGCATTATGGAGGAGATGGGATGCATTATATGAGCAGGGTAATTAGATTCTTGGAGACACCACTCCTTTTCCCTTGGGGTAGGAATAAGAACACAGTTATGGGGGGTGCAACTGGCTTGCAATAACATCCCAGGCAGTGGCAATTTTGTATTAGTTTAAGAACAAGGTTAATTTAAGCACAGCTGCTTAAGAAAGCAGCTGAAAAACAAATTGGTTTTCATGCAACAAGTAGAAACTTATCTAAATAAGGCCCTTCTTCCTAAAGCTCAGGCTAAGATAGTGCTGGTAAAGATATAGGTGTGACACAATATAGTCTTCACAGCTTCATCTGATGTAGAAGTAATTCTTTAATATAATTTCAGTAAAAGTAGAAAACTTGCAGGTGAAGTGAGGAATAGCTTGGCTGATCTACTTGATAACGTTACTAGCAAACACAGTGCTTGATTTGTTTTGTTGTGTTATTGCCCTCTACTGGAAATACAATTTCATGTTCTGCTACAGGAGTTCACACACACGCACAAAAAAAGAAACCAAACCAAAACCCCACAAGGAAAAAAGCCCTACTTTTAATTCACTGACTGCCACTAAGGACTCCTTTGGCTCCAATCAAGAAGCCAGTTTTCAAGGGTAGAGACTTCTGTGTGCTGCCTCACTTATGGGATTGATATTGCTGCACTGGTGCCATGGAGGTATAGACTTTTAGCACACCTGGGTAACTGCAGTAAATGCACCTTTGCCATGTCAAGGGAAAGTCATTTTAACTTCTCAGTGAAGAACTTCACTGTGAGCTTAGAGAAGTCTTACCGCATGTTCACAAAAGAAAAACCATCTGTGTATAAGCTCTTTTGATACAGCAGCGGTCAACACCAGCCTGCTCAGAAGAGTGGCCTGTATACTCAGGCTCAAGAACATGTTGCATGAGGGAGCCTCCGAGAAAGGGGAAGGTTAACCATGGTTACTGCAGCTCCAGTTAAGATTAACAAAGCAAGCAAGCTACAGCTTAGAGCATAATGCGTTGCCTGTGGCCTATAAAAAGTTGGGGTTCACAATGGCAAACTTACAAACCAGCTGGCAATACGAAGAGCAGGTTATATCCTTGCTTGTTATCAAACAAAGAGATAAACAGCTTGATGACTTCAGAGCTCATTTATCTGTACCAATACAACAACTAGGAGGAGTACAGTGAATTAGGAGGAGCCATATACTTCACTTGTGCACAGATACAGCCAAGGGGTGTAACCAAGCGGGACGCAGAGAGCTACTGATAGACAAAATGGCAGTTGCCAATGGCTTAGGAATTGGCTTCTTTGAGATACTCTTCAAATTCCTCAATCTCAGAAGAAATATCTGCTTTAAGACTTTTGAACTACATGCTAGCTTATGCCTACCTTGAGCAAAAGTTAGTGTTTCACAAGAGAAAACTTTTGTGAAACTTTCAGCAAAGAGTACAATTTTTCCACAAAGCATTTTTTACCCACAGTATCCTTTGCATGCTGTGTTATATGTTATTAAGGCTAATTTTATTCCTCCCTGTATATTAAAAATTACAGCCTTGGTATTAAATCTTTCTGTAGGCTCAGATATCTGCTGGGAAACTGTTGCTTGCTCAATGCTTTGTTGCAGATTGCCCTCTGATTGACATCCAGACACCAGCTGGTGTCTTATACTTACCCATTTCATAACAGGTGCCCAGAAAAACACTGTTTTGGGACCTGAGGGAGGAGGGCAGAAAAAAGAAGTTAAATTATTCAGTGAGATGTGGCTGTTTTAATACCTGCAGTAAATTTTGAGTTTGTTTTGGTGTTTTGAAATAACGAATTGTGTATATTAGCACAGTTTCTACCACTTTACAAGCTCTGACACCTAATACTCATAGTTCATCGACTCAGTGCATCAACCCTCAGTTGTGTAATCAGTCCACCCATTTCTGCAACTGATGAGTAGGATTTTCTATTTCCATTTTTAAACAAACAAGGACACTAGAGCTTGCAAAATGCATTTATAATGAAAAGAGTTAGGATAAGGCCTAGGAATAGTGAAGACGGTTTCTGTATAAAGATTAAAAGCTACTCTACAGCTGGACTAACAGAGTCAGTATTTGAAATCTTTGTGAACCGAATCTTGTAAACTAAAACCCCAAAATATTTTATTACTGGTACTGTAACAAGTCAGTCCCTCCTGCCCTTCCCAAATCACAGCCCACCTCTTTGTGCTCCAGAAGACAGGCTGCACTGAAGCATTAGGTGGTTAAAGCAAGAGTACCAATCACAAACCTAAGTGCCAGTAAGTGTTGCAAGGAGAGTGTCCTCATTCACCTCTAATCTGCACCTCTGAATAAGCACGTCTTTCTAGAAGAAACAATGTGTCCTATGCAATCAACCCCACACCCCTTTGCCTTTACCAATAGGCAAAGGAGGATTATGGGGGAAGAGGAGAAAAGTCAATGGAATGGGATCTGGGGAGGAAGGCATCTCTCTTACAAATATAGGTATCTTACAGCAGTGCTAAAATGGCAACTGGTTGGTTAAAACAAAGTACTGTAATGCCACACCTACAATGCGCAGACTGCCAGCCATGCCAGAAATCATGAATCTAGGACTACCACCCAAAGTCTTACAAGAGGGACCGCTATTCAAAGTATCAATCCACTGCACTGAGAGACAGTGAGAAAACTGGTTCCAATTTCATCAAAACACATTAAGTTTTAGGTCTTGCTAAGGCCACTGCTCAGCATTCTGATAACATGCAAGATGAAGCCAAGTTTTCATTGTAATATGTTACATATTATGAGTGAAGTTTTAAAATATAAATGATAACCACTAGGACTTTGGTTGCTTCCTTTTTGTGTAAGCTAATTTTTTACTAATAATTCATCCTTAAAAAGGCTGTTGCAGTATCTGTTTATACTCCCCATGTTAAGCACTCTCAGGTTTAAAACTATGACTTGGGAAAAATTAACTGTCAGGTTTCTACAGCAAGCACCTGTAAAGCAACTCATAATTTGGGGGAAAAGACTAATTGCTACAAACACCAGTTGCTCTGTCACCTTAAAGCCAACTAAGCCCTATAAAAGGGCAGGGCAACTGCAGCACAGAAAGCAACAAAAACTGGCTTGGCAGCTTTGCATAAAGCCCTCTTAGACCCACACTGCTTGTGATAGCGATCAAGTTTCAAACCACAGTTAATAAGTACTAGCACATTACTCTTTTGCTTGGATAACAACACTTCTACCTACACAGGATTTAATATTTTTAGGATGCCTGGGGTTGTACAGCCACTAAAACTGTGTAATATTGTTGAATAAATACAGCTCTATATTCATCCTTTGAAGATGTGAACTTCAGTTGCTGTTCTCTTAGGCAACTACTTAGTATGTACCAGGCTGCTCTTTATAAATCAGTCTTACAGAGGTCCCACAGAAGTAGCTTAAATTACTATAATCTAATTTCTTTTAAAACACAAATTCAGATTTGGAGTACTGGAGAATGTGAGGTGAGTACAAATTCTTAAATCAATATTCCCTAAACAACTAGTAAAGTTTTCAAGAAGACTGATATGAATTTTTATTAGCAATAGATAACTTGATAATTTAAAGCTGCTGACTACAAAAGGAAGAAACAGCTGAAGACAAGTAAGGTACCAAGCCAAGCTTGTTTTGGGGGAAGACTGTCAAACACCATAAGCAGAACACCTCTCCTGGAGGCACACCAGCAAGCACCCAGCCAGGGTGAGCTCTTCCCAGTTCCTGACACCCAGACTTTTTCAAGGTTGAATTTGACAGCAGGGACATACCAGAGGATAATTTGGATATCATGTGTGTGACCAGCTTATAGAATTTATGATTTCTATTGCATGTAAGAAGTCTTTGTCCTGGAGAGTTTAGTTTAATTAGGCAAAGTGAACCAAAAAGGCCAAAGGAGACAGAGTAGAAGCTCAGCCCATGCTTCCCCATGGCTGCCAAGAGCGATGTTCCCCTCTCCGTGGCAGCCAGGGGAAGTGGTATGCTGTACTCCAGGCTCTTTGTTGTCCTCCAGCAGCCTCGCTCTGTGCAACGCCAGCCAAAGAAACAGCTTTTCAGACCAGGCGTCAACTATTTTACTGGAAGCTTTCTTTGTGCCAGAAAAGAAGGAAGCGTTGTTCTTCGTTTCTTACAAGTGATTTATAATTTCATGATAATGACACTTGTCTTCCTAAATTAGACTAGAAACTTAGATATCATCCGAGATAAAATGTGAGCCTTTCATTTTTAACCTACTTGTTTTGCAGTCAGAGTGACATCTATTGCATAACTTTCTCACAGATCCACCTTCAAGACACTCAAGGTTGAAACAGAAGCAGCAGAGGTTCAGTTTCAGTACCTGCTTGCTCTGTGGCTTTTCTCACTTATGCCATCAGTATGGATTATGGCAGATATGTATGTACATATACACACACACACACACATACAGAGTTCCTAAAAACTGGATTTTTTAAAATTAATTTCAACATTATGATGGTGAACAAAAGCAGCCCACAGGCAGTTCCATGAGGTGAAAAGCACTGCAAGAGAACCTCCAAAGCCTTTTTCAACTAGTACTACAGTTCTGATGAAGAATAAATATAGATGTTCCCAGTGCTCGCCATGCCTTGTATTCAATAAAAGCAATTGCAAGCTGACACATTTCACACAGGATGAATGTGGCAGTCAGAGGCTTGGCACCTTTACAGTGGAAGCGCTGGGCGTATTGGTTCTTCGTATACAAAAGTTACATTCATGTTAAATATATATATATATGCCTAGTGAATTCAGTACAAATCAGAGATTTTGATAAGTGCAGTTTTCACTCTTTAATTGCAATTTCTTTAAAGCAACAACTTTCCTTTCAAGAGAGGATTGTTATAGGATGGAGCAACTGACTAAAAACTAAAGTCCATTTTCACAGTGCATATTCCAGGTAGGTGAAGAGTCAAGGATGCATATCACACTGAAGCAAAACAGTGGGATCAGCAGCCTATAGAATTTTAGGATTTTATCGAGCACTCTTTTTAACTACCCTACGAAATTCGTTTACATAACAAACATCACCTAAATGGCACCGAAGCAGCTCATTTTACAAGAGGTTTCTCCCTAGTAACACAAAAACCCGTGTTTGCTCAAGTTAAAGGTAAGCTTTAGGTCAGGTAAGGGTAGCTCATTTCAGGGAAACTCGAGCCCTTCCATTCCCGCAGGAGTGCTTCGGCTACGACAGTGGCTTCATAAAGGGCACCAGTTGTCTTCAGTGGGAGCGCCGGATTCGGCAGAAAGAAAAGAAAACAAACAGCAGCTTGGCTTAAACGAGAGTAGACTTTAAGATCAGAAACCCTTGCAGCACTCCCCCCTCTTTTTTCAGCACGGCCAACACGAACGAAGTGACTGCTGAAGCCTCCAGGCCCCTTTTGGAAATCATCACGTCCTCTGGATGAGGAGCAGGCAGCCCACCCGTTCCCCGGACTCGCACCGCGGAGCAGCGTGATAGTGACACTTAAGTACACTCGTGCGCTGCAGGAGACGGGAACAACAATTAGTATCGTGTCTGCCTTTTTTTTTTTCTTCTTCTTTTTTAATTTCAAAATAAATTTTCCCTTAGCGAGCCGGAGCCCACGCTTCGGCAGCATTCCCCGTGTCAGAATCACAGTTACAGAGGTGCTACTCTGCTGCCCCAATTCCGCCTCCCCGGCCGCC